CTTAAACTACATTAATCTAGCATGAATATATCAATAAAACATTCAATACATTACCAAGGTTCATGAGATGGTGGTTCACGTACTGGTCGCGACACGGTGTACCAGGGCCAAACTTCATGGAGTACGACCTGTTTTACAACATACACCACGACTACATCTTGAACGCCGTACAAAAATATGGCCGCATTTATGGCACATACATAGGGACGAGTAGGTCGCTGGTGGTGAACGAGCCCGACCTGCTCCGGGACATAATGGTCCGAGATTTTCACGTATTCCCCGATCACAGACACTTTGACCCCGGGTCTACCAAGGTGAGCAAGCTCATGTACTTCATGCCGGGAGACGACGACTGGAAGCGCGTCCGATCCATAGTGTCCGCGGCGTTCACGTTGGGAAAAGTGCGGGCAATGATGGCACACATCGACCACATTTGCGACACCTTTGTCGACAACCTGGACGCGCACCGGAGGAAAGGTATTTAACCTAAACAAGTAGACATAAAAAATGAAAATAAACCTAAAATTATTTAAATATGACCCGTTTCTTGCTGAAAATAGTTATGCACTTTTCGATGAATATATTAAATAGTTATCTAATAAAATATAACTAATAATGTTAATTAAGAATAGATTATAAGTTATATATTATAACTTTTAGTTATATAAAATACAAAGTTTAGATTATATAAATTTCATGAGTCATGACTATTTTCAAATAACTACTTTCATGATAAGAATAGCAAGATTATTTTAGCAAATATACACCTTATAGCAAACCTAGTTATATAATACTTATTCTGATAAAATGTAAAAAATATTTCACTTTTTTAGACAAACAGTAATATTAAACTAGAGTTGAAATCACTTAACGTGTGTCTTATCGATAAAGTTATTAATGACTATTGTTTTTTAAAATAATGCACGTATTATTTTAACATGCAAATCATTTAGCAAAATGATTTACAATTTTCTTGAATGATTGTAACTTATTTTAAACAATACTCAATATAGGCTTTTGAGAAAAATGCACAAATCTTGATAAATTTACAATCTTATACGAGTAATTATTTTTAAACCTACATTGTTTAATCTTATTATCACAGTATTATTATTATATAACTAATAAGAAATCGCTTTACAATTGGACCTAGGTGAACCGGTAAATATGCGTCTATATTTCGGTGCCTTTTTAATGGACGTCATCAGCGCCTGTGCCTACGGCATAAACCCCGAGTCCATAAATAACCTCGATCATCCCATTGTGACCAACGCTAAACGAATATTAAGCGTGGATGGTTTTCGTATGCTATTCTTGGTCTTAGCACCCTGGTTAGCCAAACTGTTAAAGTTACAGCTTTTTGACACCAATTCTATTGACTATTTCGATGAACTGACCAAGCAAATATTTAAAGAGAGAAAGGCTATAAGTGAGCACCCTGGTGTTCAGTGTAAGTGCGCACGCGTTTCATGAATACTGACTATGGTACATTTATAAAGGTTTTTCGATATTCATATCATAAATATTTACTCTAAATGTTCTAGGTTCATATATAGTACAATGCCAGTTTTTCAAATAAGCTTATTAAACAATCTAAACTTTAAATAATATTTTCTTAAAAATATAGCAATTATATCACGAATATAAATTAGCTATATGCAATCAAAAAAAATTAGCTATATGTGTATGCTTTCATTAAAAATGATATACTTTAGTTTTGCAAATATATTTTTAATTATTAATCAATCCTTGGCATTTTTAAGTATTTTTTGCTCATTAGTTGATTTATATTTAAAATGCTGCAAATTATTATCACTTATTAGCCAAACGTCGCATAGATTTCATACAATTAATGATAGACTCGGAAAATACGGACAAAGACCTGGACTATAATACCCACAGCGATGGGGAACAGGACGTCGAGTCGACTGACGCCCCGACAAAAGGCCTACGAGTGGTGAGATGACGGCGGAGGAGATGTCCGCTCAGGGAATCATGTTTTTCTTGGCCGGATTCGACACCACCGCTGCTGCCCTAACCCACACCATATACTACCTGTCCCTTCAC